CAGGAGAATTGAAAGGGCTTTGGAGGCAAAACCAGTGCTGTTTCTAGTTTCCTTAGGAAGGGTTCAGTTTTGCCCTGTAGGCTGGCCCACCCTCTTAGGTTGCTAGAGAGTCGTTCCACCTAAAGACCTAGGATCCCTTTGTCCCTTCTTTAAGACTCAGAATTTATTTGTTTCTTCTTTTTGATCATAAGTTCTTGCCACAGTACTCTGACCTATAGTCATTAATAGAGAGATGATTTTCTTCTTAAGTGATATATAACTGTTCACTGTTGGGGGTTCACGCATCCTTCGAGTCTTAGCTGAAATGTAACCTCATCCTCAGAGACCCTCTTTGAGTACTCATTTACTCTTTCACATTACCTATCCATCTAGTTAGTTACTGCCACCCCACCAGAAAAAAATAATCAGAAATAACACATAAAAGATGTGCTCAGTATTGTTCTCAGTGCTATGCATACATCTATTGTTTAAATATACATGGTCATCCTATGAGAGAGACATTATTTTTATCCATATTTGCAAGCAGAGGACACTGAGACACAGAGAAGCTAAGTAACTTGCCCAAGGACACACACAGCTGTAAAATAATTTAATTGGAATTTCAACCCTGAAGTCTGGCTCCAGAATCTATATTTTTAATCATGAAGTATTCTAACTAACTGTGAGTAGGAATTGGTCTGCACTCACAGCCCTAGACCATGTCCTATGAGTTGTTGGTGTTACATGTTAAATGAATTAGTACACTGTGGTAAATTGATCAAGTGTGATGCTGGTCAGCCAACTGATAATATGTGTGCTTCTGTGAAGAGATGTCCATAGCATGTTGTTAAGTGAATACAGCAAATATACCAGTTTAGGTAGAGCCTGATCCTTTTTTTGAAAGAGGATCTGATGTTGGATAAGACGAGGCCTCCTAACCAAGGGAGACATATCCACCCCGAAAGGCAAGGGACAGATTTTAAGGAAAACTTTTAAAGCTTTTGAAAACAATAAAAAATTATGTATGTTGCATATATAAGAGCTACAAGATACATATACAATGTCATGGGGAGCACAGGGAAATACCCAGGAGAGTATGAGGATCATCCTTAGTGGGTAAGATTGGTGGGGGAGGGGGATTAAATACCCCTAATTGAAAAAAAAAAAGCTTTAGTTAAGATTAAGTACTCTTGCCAGGCACAGTGGCATCTGCTTGTAATCCCAGCCACTTGGGAGGCCAAGGCAGGAAGATTGCAAGTTCAAAGCCAGCCTCAGCAACTTAGCAAGACCCTGTTCAAAAAAACCTGAAAAATAATTTAAATAGGACTGGGGATGTGGCTCAGTGGTAAAGCACCCCTTGGTTGAATCCCTGGTACCAAAAGAAAAAAATAAGTAGTCTCTTTTTGCAAGATGGAAATTTTTAAGGAAATCTTTTAAAGCTTTTGAAAACAATAAATGCACCCATTCTCTTATTTCATGGACCCTGAATCATAGCTTCAGTGTAATGAATATTTTTGAAGTAGTTACTTCTTGTTTCATTTGATCCCAAACTTTTGCAATGTGGTTTTGTTCTTCATTTACTTTTATGTTTGCCTGAGTAAGGGTTAGGGCATGGGAGATGAGCTGCATTCTTATAATTGAGAGCTGGATTTATTTATTTTAAAGACTATCACATGATAATTCCATGCCATCACTATGGACATAATATTATGTATCATGATGTTATGATGCCACATTATATTATAAAAGTTCTGCATGAATCATACTCACTCTTGGGTGTTTGGCGTTAAACGTGTAACACCTTTATTTTCAGGCATCTGACTTTTGCATTCTATCCCAGGTCAGGGCAATATTCATTCACAGGCTGGTTGGTTCAAAGATGTATGTGTGAGGTTTTCTTTGAAAACAATTTCTTCAAGGGTTGTTGAGCCTCAGTCACCTCCTTCAGGAAAGTACACTGAGGAGCCAGGTCAGCTGAGGTTGGAGGTGTGTGCAGATCTCTTATTATTTAAGCATTTCAAGAATGCAGTGTCCTGGGCTTCACAGTTGCATAAGAAAGTTGTTTGGCACTGAGGTGTTTGACTTGACTTTGTAGTGTGGCCTCTCAGGGTCAGGTTATTTTTTTCTGAGAGTCCAGAGGTTCCTTTCATTGTGCCAGGTCACAGGAAGGGTCACGGGAAGCCAGGGAAGAACAGGGTGGAGGATAGGAGAGGACCAGTGGAGACCAGAAACTTCTGGCACACATTCAGCTCACAGATGCTCAGCCCTGCCCTGAGAGCCATGGGGGGGCTTCTGAGAAAGACTGAGGGTGCCCGCCCCACTCCTGGCCAAGAAAATTGCAAACTCTGGGGTTTGAGCCTAGGCAGAAGTATTTCTTAAAAGCTCTCCCAGTTATTTTCATGTGAGGCTCAGCTTACTGGAGCCTTTGGGATTTCCCTGGGACATAAGGAAGAAAGTGGAGGCTGGACATGCCCTGGAATCAGTGGACCTGAAGCATCTGACATTGCTGTGAGTCTGGGGAAGATCAGGGACAGCTTCCTTCCAGGTCCTATGCTTTACCTAACTTTTGAAATAGATAATGTACTCCCACTGAGTGAATACAAGTAGAAGTCGGTCTCAGTGAGTGTATTGGAGGAAGAGCTGATGGGACTGAGTTTAAATATTAAATAGCTATTAAATAGGAAGGCAGAGGGTCTGAGAGGAAAAAGATATCACATGTTCAAACAAAACCCATAGCAGGTGTTCAGGTAGGTTGGGGCAGAGCTCATTCTACTTATTTACCACATTAGAGTTTATGGTATCATTGCTCGTACCTCTTCTCATCAGAGCATCCGGGCAAGCCTGTGAGGTAGGTGCTATGTCCATTTGACAGATAAGGAAACTGAGGCCTGAAGAAGTGGAGGGCCAGGATATCTTAGCTCTTGTGTGGCCAAGTAGAGCCACAATCTGCCTGGCTCCAAATTCCACGGCTCGCTTTGCTTCCCTGTTTAAAAAAAAAAAAAAATCAAGAGCTGTATTTCATGTTATTTTTCCTGCTGACCAGGAAAGATGTGGACCAAGTAAAACCCACCAAACAACACTCTTTCCTATTCTTCCATTTATAGATGGTTTGTGTTCAAACTGTCCATGAATCCCTAGTATTCTTCCATCACAGCAGTAGCTAGCATTTATAGAACACATGCCTGGTGCCACTTGCAGGGCTTTATGAAAAGGAATTCATTCAATTCTCCCAATAGCCAGGCATTTGTTGTAAGTATTATGATTACTCCCCATGTTACAGGTGAGGAAACTGAGATCCAGAGAGCTTAGGCAACTCACCCCAAATCACCCAGCTTGCTGATAGCGAAGCCCAGGTTTACATCTAATCATTTTGCGGCAGGAGCGCACACATTTATCTGTTACATAGAGTTGGCTCCTGTAGTTACAGCTATGCTAGTCAGAGGTCCCAGGCTGACTCCAGCTTCTACTATGTCTGCCTGTTTTTTTAATTATAATGATCATTTTCACTTATTGTGCTTTCACTGTACATTAGGCATTGTCCAAGGGCTTTGATGATGTCACTTAATCCATCGTGCTTGGGAGTGGGCCCCAGGGGCTCTTCTCCAGCCCATGGCTGTGCCAACCAGCACTCTGTCCCAGCAAGACCCTCAGGACCCCCTTTCTAGAGCACTGCAGGAGCCTACATCACACTTTTGGTGACTGGAGAAGTGCCTGGTTCTTGGATGGCATCCCAGTCTCCTCCTGAGTTAGTCAAGCCTTCTCACATCCTCCAGGCAGAGGGAGCTCCCTGCTCCAATTCAGTGGAACTGGCCTTGGTGGGTTTGGTCTGGGCTGCATAGGAGGATGCAGGATTTATCTCATTCCAGTCGCGTCCTTGTTTGGCATGCCTCGTGGACCAAACATCTAGAGAACCAGGACATCAAATAAAGATCCACTTTTGGGGCTGCTTGAGCCCTGTAGGGCCCAGGCTGTGGAGGACTCATGTTAGGGCCATGTGACCCTCTGCACCCAGTTCTTTTCTGCTGGGAGCCCCCCCCCACCCCATCTCTTCTCTCTCCGGCTGCAGCTCTGCTCCCAGCTCTGTTGTGGTTGGATCCTCCTCCACCTCCAGGTCTCCCTCCAGGACTCAGGTCCTCCCTGAGTCCAGGTCCTTCCCAGCCCTCAGGGACCTTCTTTACATCACCCTTATGTTCTTTTCACAATCCTTAATCATGGAATTTACTTATTTTTTCCTTCCTTATTTTCTGTCTGCATTCCCTACAAAACTGTAAGCTCCAAAAGAATTCTGAGTCTTCTGCTGTCACTCACTGCTTGACCAGGTACCTAGCTCCTATACCCTGTCCCATATTAGGTGCTCAGTAAATATGTGTTGAGTCAAAGAATAGAAAATCCCTCTGCCATTGAAGCTGATGGCATTGACACCACTACCAGTTCCTGATGGTCAACATCCAGGTTCTGCCCATGGCCCTTTCTAATTCATGTCTCTTATGTCCTAAATAAACCCATTCCTTGCTTGGGAGTTTGTTATTGCTCTTTCCATTGGTTGAGTGACTCCAGGCCTGTCCACAGCTCCTCAGTTTCTCCCATATTGAATGAAGTTGCTCTAATCCCTGGCAGTTTGGGCTTTCAGTTATGGGGGAGACCATCCCCGAGGATGGATTCTTTGTTGTGCCTCTGTTGGGAATATGCAGGTCCAATGGAATGCCCGCCTAGCCCCAACTCAAACAGCTGCAAAAATTAACCCAGATTCCAGGCAGAATGCTAAGTGTTTAGCAGCATACACAAGCAAGACCTCCACATTCAAGGTGGTTTCTATCTCTTTGCAAGAGAAGAGGACACCATCATGCGTGGCAAGTACGAATGCGAAACAAGAGATGACCAGTACCTTGTTCAAGGCTGAAATGTGTTCATTGGGGTCTGGCAAGACTTAATGGGATGTAGTCAAGACGTGGAAGACACGCAGGCTTCCTGTAGCCTTGGTGAGTGTTCTGTGTGGTCACCAGCTTCTCCGTTCCTTCTAGGTACAACCAGAGACTGCTCCAGTAGTTCTGTGGCTGCAGGGCGGGCCGGGAGGCTCATCCATGTTTGGACTCTTTGTGGAACATGGACCTTATGTCATCACAAGTAATATGACTGGTAAGTGTGGCTTGAACTGTGTCTCCTATGGAGAATCCTTCATTAGGGCCTTATATCTAATCCAGAACTAACTTAAGGTAGACACTGAGTCACTGGGAATAGTTTTAACAGCTCCAGATTATAAAAACACAGCTCTCTGGCAATGCCTGTCCAAGGAGGAGCCACTGGGGTGAGTGTCCTGACTGGCCTACTTTCTCCCTTGAAATTTGGGTGAAAGGTTCTAAGCTCTTTTCTCAGAGCTCTGCTGGCTGACTCAAGCATTCTCGGCTTGCAGAAACAGTTGGTATTTGTTATCGTTTGGGAGAGCTCTTTTGCATGGGCCTAATGGGGGGATTATTCAGACAAACTGAACACCTTATGGTTCCAGTCACTGAAACGACCTGTTACCTTGGAAGCAGGATGCTGTGGTGGAGGAAGGATGCAGAACAAGCAACATCTGTCACCCAGGCTCATCTCCAGGTCATTGTCTTATTTTGGAGGTGGTTTACTTTCCCTGGGTCAGAATTCAGAGTATGAACCCACTTGTGACTCATAAAAAGCTTCTGTGCTTGTTGAAATTGTTGTTCTCTTCGGTCTTGGGTGGTCAGAAGAGAATTCAAGAGGATTAGACTGTTAAGGATGATTTATAGGACTGGACAGATGGGAATTATCACATGGATGGTCCCTGGGTATTTCCTCATGGCCCAGTTGTACCGGGTTCTGTATTCAAGCTTCGTCTTAGATGTAGAATCCTTCTAAGAGAAAAAGAGAAGAGAGGAGAGGAGGTCAGGGTGCTGGGGCCAGGTCCCCACTGTGAAAGTGTGATACAGTATCAGAGGCACACCCACAGTTCCTGGGGGAGGAGGGTGCTGGACTCCTGACCGCAGCAGGGCCTTACATGGTATATTCTGTTAGCAACTCAGACTCAGACCCCTCCTCTGTTTTAACAGTCCTGCCCAGAAACTTCCCTTGGACCACCACCTTGTCCATGCTATATATGGATAATCCGGTGAGTACAATGCCACCTGTGAATGAAATGTCTGTGTCTATGAAGTGTCTCTGTGCTGGCCTCTCTTGTCTTTTTTACTTTTTATTAAATTTAGTCATGTGCATAATAGTGCTTCAGTCAACAATAGGCCACATATGTGACAGTGGTCCCCTCAGATTTTAATGGAGCTGAAAAATTCCCATCACTATAGTATTTTTACCTTTTTCATGTTTAGATATTTTTAGACACACAGATTCTTACCATTATGTTATAATTGCCCATCATATTCAGTACAGTAACATGCTATATAGGTTTGTAGTTTAGGAGCAAGGGCTTGGTATAAATATATACTATATACACTTGTGTTTTTATACAAAATTTATATATACATATTTGTGTATAGTGCACACACATACACACAACCCTTAGCCCATGTGTGTAGTAAGCTACAACTTCTAGATTTGTGTAAGTATACTCTGGGGTGTTCCCACAACAATGAATTCACCTAAGGATACATTATTTCTCAGGATGTACCCTCATCATTAAGCAATGCATGCATGACTGTACATTTTAAACATTAGAGATATTTTTTCTTTTTACAGTAGAATTTAGGGCTAGGGTTGTGTGGTTCAGTGTTTGAGTGCTTGCCTAGCACGTGTGAGGCACCGGGTTTGATTCTTAGCACCAGATAAACAAATAAATAAAATAAAAGATATTGTGTCCATCTGTAACTAAGATAAATAAATGAATAAAATAGAATTTAATCTATAAAAATGAGGCCTATTTTGAGATTTATAGCATGTTTTGTCATAATTAGAGTTGGGGAATTTTTCTTGCTTTCTTCTCTTTTCTAGTTTTGAATCCCAGGATTCAAAACTAGAAAATGTCCTGTTCACTGGTTTTTACTGTTGAGGATCAGGGGTTAGTGTCTTTTTTCGGATGGAATAGGATGCTCCTGTATAGGTTATTGTTTAGTATCAGAATTCCTAATCTGTCCTGTAGTGTTCTAGATAAATAAAGCCCAAACTAGTCTCCTTCCCTTATCAGGAGAAGCAGTATGCCTTATTTGGGGACAAAAACGGATATTCTCCTTTAGAAGTTTTCTGAAATTGGTTTTCAATAAACTATAAAATAGGACAGTGGCTCAGGGTCTGGTTCTACAGATTCAGAGTGTCTTTACCGCCTTACTAAAATCTCAAAACTTTCCTCTTTTCAGAGGGTCCAAGGAGAAAACAATTAGGAAGGGGAAAAAAAAAAAGTCAACACACTTGTCCTTGATCCTTTGTCAGTCATCCTTTTCCTTAGTCTCTAATTACATATTTAAACAGGAGGTGATTTAAATGTGTTATCTTGGGTGTTTGGGGGCAGCGGGATAAATGAAAAAAAAATCTTTCCAGCTAGTGGGGAGTGCATTCCTACACAAATTATTGACACAAACTCACTTGTAGCTTCTTCTTTTGATTGATAGCTCAATTGTCTATGAAATCTTAGGCAGAGACAATATTGGGTTAGATTTAGTCTTAATTATTTTAAAACTCACCTACTGAAAATGAGATGGAGTGATGGTCGTATTTATCACAAATTAAGAAAAGAAGAAGAAAACACATCCAGTTCTCTTCTTTCTCCAGCCAGAGAGCTCCTTCTTGGCAGGACAGAGCTGCACACCCTTCAGGGAAAGGAGACTGCTTTGGATCTTCTGATGCCGTGGCTGGACAAAGAAAGATGAAGGGCAGGTCCCCTCTGAGGAATTGGGACAGCTCAGCCCCCAAGGGTAGACCCCAGGGCAAGGCTCCTGCTGCTGTTGTGTTTGGGGTGGGGGATGAGTGAAGCCAGTGTGCCCCTGTGAGGACAGCCAACATACCTAGGCGATGGCAAAAACCTGAAGTCAGAGGCTTGGCCTGTGGAGTAAGTAAGGTTGCCCCCAGCGCAGGTTCCACCTGAAGATCCACAGGGAGTGTGTGTCTGCCTGCTCACCTGCTGATCTGTTCCCCCTTCAGGTGGGCACTGGCTTCAGTTTTACCAATAATTCCCAGGGATATGCTGTCAATGAGGATGATGTGGCCCACAATTTGCACAGGTAAGATGTGTAGGCTGTCTCTGGACCTCTTCAGACCAAACATTTTTCTATCTCAATAGGAAAACCCCTTCCAGTGCTGGAATTATTATTGATGGGTCCTTATTGCCCAATTTCTGAAAGATTGGGAGAATTTCTACCCAGAGCCACACACACTCACACACACATGTGCACACTTGTAGTCTTTTTTTTTTTTCTGTTATTACCTCATAATTGATAATTGCATAATTGGCCAGCAGAGAACATAAAGAGCTCAGAAATGATGCACTTGCCTGGCATGTATGAGGCACTGTGTTTGATTCTCAGCGCCGCATAAAAATAAATGAATAAAATAAATACCAATCTTTAAAAAAAAATCCTTTTAAGAGTCAGAATTTTTCAACCAAAGATTTTTTTAAACCTTTCAACCAAATGCCTTAAAGTTGTTTTATTTTCCCCCAAAATTATCTTTTAACTTTGCATTTACTAGGAAATAGCATCTTCTCCTAGAATTGGTGTTTTTTTTTTTTTTTTTTTTTTTTTTTTTTTTTTTTGCGGAGGTGGGTCTTATTTCCCAGGATCTCTCCTTCATACGCATTTGTTTTTACTCTCTTGCTTCTCCCTCATGATTTTTTCAGGCTGAACAGCTTATTAGCTCGTTCTTCCTTTTCCCCTTCCTCTTACAAAATGTTTATTTTGCTTTAAAAAGGGGAGAGGGGAAATATAAAATTGTTAGCTTGATTAAACAGTGCACATAGAGTTTCTTCCTTTTTCTTACTCACATCTATTATAGCTATTTTTAGCACATTAAAAAAAAAAATGTAAGCGACCTTTCTTATTTGGTCAGATTTTTCCAGTCTGTAAATTGTTCCTTGAGATCAAGTTCTGAGTCCTTTCAGGTCACTAGGGGAGCACTTGCTGCATCATGGTAATCTATTAAAAGAGCCCTAGTGGCCTGGGGAGTTCACTAGGTGCTTCCCCACCCCACCTCCACCATCCAGCTGCTAATTACTTGGTGAGCAAAATCCACTAGTCCCCAAAGAGAAAGTGTCTCTAATAGAAGTCAGAGTTCTCTGATCTCTGATAAAACCTTTCCATTTTACTCTTCTTTCTCCCCAGGGCAGATGGCTAGTGGAGGGTAGAAAGAAACTTCTTGGCCTTTTCCCCAAAGGCAATTTTCTTTTCCTCTGCTGACCCTGAAAAGAGTATATCTTCTTCACTTTCCTTTTTCCACATCTTATGATTTTAACCCTTCCTCAGTTTCCACGGGAGTTCTTAGGTCCCCACACCTCTGCTCCCAGGTACAGTAGATCCTGGGAACATAATAACCACCGGTCCTTGCAAATGGCCCCCTTTCCTCATCCCAGTTCCCAAACTCTCTCCTCCCCCCACAGACACTCTCTCCTCCTGCCCTCAGAAGTCTCCTCCAGCACCCTGTCTCTGGAGCTTTCATTCTTCTGATTGGAACCTACTCTTTACCCCCCACCGGACTCCAACCCCTTCTGGCTTAAATCCAAACAAGCTCAATTGTTTAACTAGCAAACGCCCTGAGGGCTGAGGTTCTGTATTAAAGAAATGTGTCAGTCCCTTGGAAGACACAGCATTGCAAAATCCCCCTCCCTCTCCTTCCTAGAAGAAGCTCCCAGCTTCCAGTACCCTCCGTGTGGATCTTTACTGCTGACATGTGGTACATCTCCACTTGCATGACATGTAAAGAGAACCTATTTCAAAGCATCCATTGTTTATAGCTGTTTTAGTTCTTTATGCTTCAGGCTCTTAGAACTGGAAAATAGCTAATCAAGAGTAGTGCAGAAAACTGATTTCAGCTGTTTCCTTTATAGTTTACGCTATTCGTTTCCTTTTGTGCCTACATTCTTCTGTCCAGCTCTCCAGATGGGTACTGGGAATAATAAGGTCGCTTTGAAACCTGTAAATGGGCTACTGAGGGTTTAGAGTAGACCTTTCTTCCTCTCCCTTTGAAGACTATCTTTCCTTCTTCTGAAAGTCCCTTTCCTTTTTCCTATTAACAGTGTGTGTCTGGAAGGAGTAGCCTCCCAAATTCACTTTGATGTTGCGCATCTTTTGTGTGTGTTTGAAAATAAAACTTTTTCAGTAACAAAGTGTTAGGATTCTCTCTCTCTCTCTCTCTCTCTCTCTCTCTCTCTCTTCACTCTTTGGAATGTGTTAGAGAGCTTTAGTGCTTCTCTGGCTTAGAAAAAAATAAAACCACCAAAACGTAATACATTTGCTCACTTGGACTTGCATAGAGTGGCCGGTGCCATCGTGTCGTGTCGTGCTGCTCTCCATCCGGGAACACACACTGTCTGCAGGACACTGTTCTGGGTGCAGGCGATGCAGCTAGGCAGACCTTGCCCTCCTGATGTGCAGTCTAGTAGGGTGCCTGAAGTCACCTTGGCAGCCAAGTGGATGTGCTGCTGCTGTTCTGCCCACCATGTTGCTTTCTGATGGGAAATGCTTTGATTGGTCACACGAAAATTCCCAGTAATGCTGCCATGAAGCAGGTTTCATATATGAAAGAAGACACTGTGATCCACGCAGGAGGGAGAGGATCCCAGCAAGGTCACCCTGGGTGTAAAATAAATGAGAAGAGGCTGCTCTTGTGTTCTCCAGCACCACTAAACAGCCACAGTTTTCCTTGTTGAGTTGGTTTCTGTCCACTGTGGGTGGCTGTCAAACTCCTGCTTGGCTTTAGTGAGGATGATATTCCCACTTAGATGATCAGAACCTCAATCTTTCTGAATGTCATTTGTATGTATTATTCTGTGGCTCCACCAGAACTGATCAGATTCCTGTACTCTCTTTAGGTCTATAGTGCTTGATCATTTCACTTTCTCTATTCTGCATACACCAACTTCCATTTTCAAAAAACTTATCAAAGGAGTAATTTTCTCCTGGTCATCTTTCCCTGCAATCTCCGTTTCTCCGTATTGTCCTTTAATATATCTGTCTGCCAGCAGATAGCCTTTAGCTAAGATTCTATTTATTAGACAAGTAAGGTTGCAAAATGGAATCTTATAGCAGATGCATGTTTTCTGTGCCACATAATTCCACCTGAATAAATGCATGGAGCACATGTGTGCACGCACACACACATGATGTGTGTGCGCGCGCACACACATGATGTGTGCTATGTATATTTTAGCAACTCTGACTCTCAAATTTGAATGTTCATGAAGACATTATTCTAGACTCTATCTTTAAGCAGACCCTCACCAGGTAATAAGAATATCCCTGAATAAAAATACAGTTAAATAAGCAATTGCATATGTGAATCTAATTTTTTAGTAAATCTACCTTTTCCATTCTTCATTCCCATTTAAGAGAGACCTATCAAGGGCTCACTTTAAAAAAAAAAGCAGTCAATTTAAAAATTTCTAATGGGGAAATTGAAAGATTAACTCCTTCACTTGAGATTGCCAGATGAGGCCTAGAATGCCCAGTTAAATTTGAATTTCAGGTAAGTGGTGAATAATTTTTCATGTAAGTATAATCCAGACAATATTTGAACACAATTATACTGAAACATTGTTTTTTCATTTATCTGAACTTCAAACTGAATTGGACATATTATATTTTTTACTTGCTAAATCTAGCAATCCTAACAACTCTCTAGCCAGCACCACAAGGAAGCAAGCTTTCAACTCAAGCAAGAGGCTTATTTGAGATTTACTCTGTTCCATTGTCTGTTGCCATTCCAAGAATCAGGAAGAGAGCAAGGGAAGCAGTTTTTAGCCTGAAGGTTGGAGAGGGAAGGGTGGAGGATGAACTCCTATTTTTATCCCTGCTCTAAAGCCAGTTTATTGTCAGTACTAACATGGAGGCCATAAAATTGCAGCTTCCCAGATTGAGTTGCTACAGAGGCCACTATAAATTATAAATAGAGAAATAACACCAAAACTCTGCACTAGTGGCTCATGCTGAATTTTTATGGAGCCTTTGAAAATTAAGTATAGCCAAGATCACAGTGGTTGTAATGACCCAATTTTGCTTCTGTAACCCTCGAACTCTCTCCCTTTCCTCCCTCCCTAGAGTCTCCTTGCCTTTCATCTTCCCTGTATGGCTCATGGCTTTCAGTCCCTCAAGAAGCTGGGACAGAAGCCATCCCCAGCATCTCAGGCATTGCAGTTTGGGTCAGAACATTCATAAAATATCTGAGTGTCACGAGTTTTCCCCTCCTTTTGGGGAAGATTTTAGTCAAGTAGGAAATCATTCAAACATTTCCCCTTTTCTTGCTTCTTTTGAAATAATTCCTTGAGTTGACTTAACTCTGTTTCATGTTGTTCATTTCTGTGGCTGCTGGCACTCTTTAGGAAATATGATTTTTCTCTTTTTTTTTTTTTTTGAGCTCAGAGGCCACTGTTCATGTATTTCAATACTTGTGGTCATTTGCTGGTTTCCCTTTAAATTATGGTCCTTTTACAGATTTTCTGTTTTTTTGGTTATTAAAACTAGAAAATTCTGGGAGCTCCATTAGAAATATTTAGGGCCTCTTACAGTGGGGGTTCGTAAGGAACTAAGATTCCCATACCTCTCCACAAATCTGAGTTAATGGAATCCTAAGGTTTGCATAAGAATGTTAAGTAATAGGTGAAAGCCTAATAATATCTTTGGATCAAGGTCCCCTCAAGTCAGGTGATCCAAAGTGGTAACCCAGAGATTTGGAAATGTGCCCAAAGTTTTGATGTCCACTGTCCAAACTTCTTAGTATCTCAATGTAGGCCCATACGTATTTATTTTCTAACTATCCACATAGAATGCAGTGTTATTATGTCCATGAGTCTTTGAAAAGCAGACTGGTGTCTGATTTCAAATGTGAAACCTATTGCCAAAGAGTTAGTTTTGGTGGCATCACCTGAAATGATTCTGATTCCATTTTCAATTGTGTATTTGTTGTTCCTCTTTTTGCAGTGCACTAGTTCAGTTTTTCCAGTTGTTTCCTGAGTATGAAACTAATGACTTTTATGCCACTGGCGAGGTGAGTCAAAGTCATGTTTTCTTGTGTGCTTTAAACATCATCAAGATTGAAATTTACTATGACTGTTTTGGTAGATGGTATATTCATCTAAAAAATGCATATATGTATAAATACGTGCATATGTGTTTGTGTGTGTACATTTAAAGATTGAGTAAGCCCATACTCAAAATTTTCCAACTATCTTCCAAAGATCCTCCATAACATATTTTGAAATCCAGGGCTTAATAAAGATTCATGTGTTAGGTTTAGTGTTGGTTTGTTATTTCTTAGTCATCTGCCCTTTTGGTTGTTGTCATTAAGGGAGTGGGGTGTACCAGGGATTGAACTCAGGGGTACTTAACCACTCAGCCACATCCCCAACCTATTTGCACTTTATTAAGAGACAGGGTCTCAATGAGTTGCTTAGTGCCTCACTGTAGCTGAACTCACAATCCTTCTGTCTCAGCCTCCCAAGCTTCTGGGATTATGTTATTGCACCTGGCTATTAAGGGTGATTTTGAAGAATTCAGACCAAGTGCCTTGCAGAGTACTCCATATTCTGAACTTGTTGGATTCTGCCCTTTGTGCTTAGAACCAGCAAGAACAGTGCAGAGATGATGTGGGTATTTTCTGTGGAATGCCATCAGGAGGCAGAGGATGTCAATTTGTCCCCTTATGAAAATACTAAACTTGATCACTTGGCCAAGGTGGTCTCTGCTGGATCTCACTATTGTAAACACACTTGTTTCTGTTTGTAATTAATAAATAATCCAAGACCATGTGAACATCTGTTCTCCTGAATCTGTCTGCCAATACTTTTAACATCCATTGATGATCCCTATCTTAATCTGTTATTACACCCAGGAGTTATAAAATGGTGATTTTATTCATGAATATAATGACTTTTCAAAACTAACTCTTTGGCAACAGATTTCGTATTTGAAATCAGGAACCATTTTGCTTTTCTGGTATCCTTCTGTAGCAATCTTTACCCTAACCTCTTTCTATTATATACTTAAAGGTATCATTTTTATTTGATCTGTCAAAAATTTTTGTGATCATTGTAGGTTTTGATGCTTAAATTGTTCTAATTTTGTTCACTGAGAGCCCCAACAAGATAGCTCCAGTGTCCTTTTGTCTTTGAACACTTCCTTGGTTTTTGGCTCAAATAAGTGTTCCAGAAGCATCTCCTACTTTCCTTACTCTCTCCCTGTGTTATAGTTTGAATCTGGCCTGTCCACCAAAGGCTCATGTATTAAAGGCTTGGTCCCTGGCCCATGGAACCTTTAGGAGGTGGGGCCTAATGGAAGGGAGTTAGGTGACGGGGGGGATGCCTTTGAGGGAGACATTGGGGCCTAACCCCTCCTCTTCTCTTTTTGCTTTCTGGCCATGATGTGGTGAATAGGCATCCTCCACCGTGCACTCCCAGCATGATATATTGCGCTGCCACAGGGCCAAGTGACCAAGGACTTAAACTCTGAAACTGTGAGCCAAATAAAAACTTCCTCTTCATAAGTTACTTATGTCAGGTATTGTTGTCACAAAGACAGAGAGCTAATACAGTATTTTTCCACAGTGACAGAAAGTCGACTAACACTCCTGGAATCAGTCATTTACTCAAACCTGGTTCCTTTTAGTGTGTGTGGTGGGGGGGATGTTATTAAAGCCAAGTCCTGAGCACTTATTGTGCTCATTGCCACTGGCTCATGGCCACTGGGGTATCATTAGATCTTGTCTATGGGCGGAGCTAGAAAAGTAAAATTCACACCAAGACCCATAATTCTAATTTCCCACCACAGGGTTCTCTTCTCCTTTTCCCTATTACTTATTTGTATACGCCTTCTCCCACACTGATGACCATGGTTCCCAATAGTATTACATGTTTGCTTTATTTTTTCCAGTTCTATAATACACTTAACACAGCTTCAGAATTCCTATATCAGTATGGCCAACAAGAAACCTGTAAGTCTCTTTCATCAGGACTTTGCCTCTCATTCTCTCCTGATCTTTTCACTTGGCTTTGCACTTCCTTGATTTCATTCTCAGGTAATTTCTTTTCACTTGAAGTCCCTGTCTCTTCTCTTCACGTAGCCTGCAAGCTCTTTCCTACTAATTCCATCCATATTCCTGAATTACATGTGATGCATTTGGGTCCCATGTCCATCTGAAAACCAGTAACTGGGTTGGAGGAATGGAACATGTAGATTGGCTAGTATGGAGCCCAAGGCTGATCCCAAATGCCTGAGAAGGGAAGGATCATGCTGGGGTCCTCACCCTCTGAAGCTTACAGCCTGAGTCAGGGGATGACTGAGCTCCAGAGGAAGGGCTAGAAGGATGCTGAGCAAGAGCATCTGCAAATGTGCACTCTAAAGGACTGAGAGAAATTTAATGTCCATTTTTCAAGGGAATGGTAAGTTAGTAGAATTAGGAACGTTTTCTTTTAAAGCCTGCTTTCCTCTCTTTCTAAGTCATTTGGAAAGAATATATGGACTGCTTCACACTGTGCTTCAGGGTTTCTATAGCTAGTTCTCCAGTTGAGATTACTTAGTCCTCTACCAATAATTCCCTCTCATTCTCGCTTGTTTAACCAGTCTCAGAGGCAGGTTGGGGATGGGGCAGGCTGTGACACTCCTGTCATCTGGCAGCAGCCCTGGAAAATGCCCTCTCTCCCTCTGCAACAGAAGAGCGATCTGTTTAATGTGTAATTCCTTGTCTTGCAAGTAATATGGCACTGTTTTTAACCATGATGTTGAATGCTCAGCAAAGCTGCCAAATCCCGGATGAAAAATTTGACTTGTCTATTTTATTTCTGCCTGGTGGTTTTATGCATGTAATTTCCAAATGTGTATGGGAATGCACAGTTTTCTTTTTACATTCTTTGCTGCCAGGATGAATACACTTGAGGGAACCTGTACCTTCTAATCAATGAAGGAAGATGTAAGCGGGCAGGCTAGGCCTGAGGTAGAGATATCAGGTTGCCAGGTAGCAATGAATGGCGTGTGGTCTGTTTTGCCTGAGGGTCCGTCTCTTTCCAGAAGGAAGAGCACCAGATGATAACACCATGATGGTCTATCATTATTACAATGCTCTGTTTCTCTAGTCCAGTTGGTTTCATCTGGTCTGTCATCTGTTTTAAGGCCATGAAACAGAATAAAGATGTGGAAGGAATTCTGGATCAATAATTAGGAGACTTGGGACCTCACCGGATGATTCTGGGAAAGCTTTTTAACTTCTCTGGGCTTCTGCTTTTAATCTTACAATCAGAGGGGTTGGTTTTTAAATTAGATCACTTCTAGGGATATTTTGCTTCATTGAAAGTGGAACTGTGGTTATCTACACTTAACTCTTCTAGCATCTATATATAATTGCAGTTTTAACATAGTGCCTACCCATCCTTCCTCTCACCACTCTCAGCTCCCCCCTGCCAAAACAAATCATTACATATTTTTCAAGAAAAAAAAAAAAACAAAACCCTTTCTTTTCTGAGCTCTTAATTTGCCCACACTCTTAGAGGGACTGAATAAATAATGTTGCTCTCACCACTCTCAGCTCCCCCCTGCCAAAACAAATCATTACATATTTTTCAAGAAAAAAAAACAAACAAAACCCTTTCTTTTCTGAGCTCTTAATTTGCCCACACTCTTAGAGGGACTGAATAAATAATGTTGCTCAATTTGTAGAATCATTCTTGAAAGATGAATGCATAAATTCAGAAGTGGTCTTTTGCCTTCTGTGCACACGCCCCAGACCTCAAACCCTTCATCTTGTGTGCTGTGTGGGGCGGGGCGCAGTGAGTGTGTGAATGGGGGAAGCCATGCTAGAGGGTCTGGAGCAGCTGTTCAGAGCCCTGACTTTGGTGGAAGGGAGTCTGGAAATAATAATAGTACCTACTTCTTAGCACTGTTTTGAGCATTTAATTAGGTAATCCTCCTCAGATATTTAGCCTAGTGACCAGCTGTGGCAAACACCCAACATTGATGCCTATTATTGCCATCCATGTTGAAAAGCTGGATTAATCTATTATGGCTCCAGAGCATATGGCCCAAAGCATGTAGACAGGGGCTGAGTGTTATGCTCTGCCTCTTATTGTTGGGACGTGGCAATGTGTTTTCTATGTTTTTTTTTTAATGTGTGTGTGTGTGTGTGTGTGTGTGCATGTGATTTGAACCCAGGACATTATACATTCTGAGCAGATGATCTACCACTGAGCTACATTCCTAGCTGAAATCATTTTTAAAAGAAATAACTTGCTTCATCTAAAAGATGAAGACGGAGCTTAGAAGTTGATATTAGGGTTGGGTTTATTTGTTTTTCATATGGATAGCAGCAGATGTGCCAGGATCCACCCCAGGCTCCTTGCCCCTGTAGTATACACCAGGCGTGGCACCCCAGAGGGAGCCTGCTGTGGGTGTGAGGGAGATGGAAGAAGCCTCTTTGTCCCTTTTCCTTCTCTTTATTCCTGCCCAGAACACCAACTGGAATTAATTTTCTCTAAAGAGAGACAAATGTGTCTGTAAATCACCCTCCTCAAGGCATGAAAAAAATGTACTTCAAAAAGAAACAAGCTCCATTTAATTCCCATAATTAACTTTCTTTAAGTGTTATCCTTCCCAAGCCAGTAACTGTTAGTGAGCCTGCCCTTGTTCTTGAAGCACAGGCACACTGTAGAGTCCTCTCCAGTCACTGGAAGCCCAGCTAGATGGTAAAGCAGAACAGCCTCATGGAGGAGAAAGCTGGCAAGACGGAGGGATGGCCCATTATCCCTGGGCCATGTGGCTTCCTTGAGCCACTCCCAGGGAAGAGGCTGTGCTCCTGAGTGGTTATGGATGGATGGGAAACCATCCAAAATGGCAGGGCAGATGGGTCAACCTTGGCATTGCTTCTCCAGCATCAGAGAAGGGCAGAGTCTCTCTACAAGCAGTTTTTCAAGCATGGTTAATTTGAGGCCAATACAGGCAGAATTTTAAAGCTATTTATATAGTAGTTAGTGAACTTAATTGGATGCTTTATCTTCACCCATACAAGTGAAGGTCTGTGGGGAACATGATGTCGGATGACCTTCATTGAGATCACAATGGTCTGTTGCTTTGAGGCAGCTGGCTCCTTGTATGTGGGAACCATGTTTTAAAAATGTGCATCATGCAATACTAAGCACGCTGTTTAATGAATGAGATAGAGTGGCTTCATGAAAGGTTGTCATTAGATAAAATTAAAATATTGATGCTATTTCTCTCCCGCATCTTTTCATCTCCCTCTCATTGACCATACCCCGCTGCTCTCCTATGTCCTGGTCCCTCAGAACTCTCCTTCCTACTCTTATTTTCCAGGCCTATTTTATGCCCAGCCTCCTACCCCAGCCCTGCTTGCCTTGACTGTATTATATTCAGGTTTAATTCTCCAGCTTTCTCCATCCTTGTTGTGATTATTCTTTGGTCTGTCCCCACTTTGACTTATTAGCTCACTGTCCATTAGCAAGATCTGATAAATGAAGCCAATGTGGTATACTATCAACATGTCTGCATTTGAATGGAGGACAGCACCTGCCCATGGAAAGGTATTTGTAATAGGGACTTCATAGCACTGAGTGCAAGCAGAGGGGTGGAGTGGAGATCTCTACTTGCAATAGGCCAGTCATCATGCTCTGAAGGCCTATATCGTTATCCTATTAGTCCGGGCTTGGGTTCCTTGAATTAGGTGGCTAAAAGACAGCTTTAAGAACATCTCAGCTGCAGGTTTTATTTGCAAATCTCATATTAAAATAAAAGATATTTATTCAGAATGGATTATATGATGGGCATTTTGCTGAGTATGGTTTCATGTATTACTTCATTAAAGTCCCACAGCCAACTTATAATATCAATGATATTATTATTTCCCCTATTTTACAGGTGAGGTGAATGAGGCTTAGAGAGGTTAGGTATGCTTTACCAAGGTAACCCAGCTAGAAAGTGGAGGAGCCAGAATTGAAGCCTGCAAGGTTGGACTCCAGAGCCTGAGAATTGCATCGCAGGAATTGGCTGAGCCCTGCCTGGGGAGATGCTCCATGGAGCTGGGGCCCCCTCCTCAAAACCACATTGGTCTCCAGGACCTGCCTCTCCCTGCAGAGCAGATCCTCTTTCCATGGAAGGGAGTCAGACATCCACTTTCATATTTCCTGCAGATCTCTAGGGTTATAACCTTATACAAACAGAAAAGAAGCTCCTTAGCTCTTTGAATGTCTCTGTCTTTCTGGCCAAGACTTACTTTTAATCATAAAGACTTGGCTTTGATCATAAAGTTTTATAGAGTTAAGTGGAAGTTTCAAGTGATATAAAGACCTGAAGTCCTTGGAATGCAATTATTTCTCAAGGCTTGGAACTTGCTGAATTTTATTAGATAGCATTCAAGCTGTTTTAACTCTTGAGCCCATGACAAATGTCTATTTTCAATTATGTCCATCTGCACTTGCCAATATTTTCTTTTAGAATTGAAAACGGATTTGTGACTATTTAATGAGTTTAATATTATAAAAATTAAGGTTTAGCTGCAACCCAAAGAACTGAACAAAGACATATGGAAATGTTTGCAAGTTGGGCCGCTGGCTTTGGGAGAGCAAATCCAAATCAAATCAATACGTATTTACCATATTGATTTAGTTGCATGGAGAAGGGAATCAGAAATCATGGAAAGCTTTGTCTGCAGTGAACTACTACACAGACTGAGCAGTGTAGAGACATCAGCAGTACCTGAGTGGATGAGATGTCCAGGTTGGGGACAGGAAATGTTAAGTTACATCTATTTATTCAGCTTTAGCCTTCTGAATTCTCTACAGGGATCTAAAAAAGGTCTCCATTTGTTGTCTGTGACCCAGAATGTTCCATCTCTTTATTTAAAGGCCAAATTAACTGTCTTCTCCATTTTAAACAGAAGAGTTTATTCATTTCCTTGAATCACCTGGCTTCAAGCTAGGTTTCTCCAAATTGGCACCAAAAAAAAGTCAGAGTAAGTTGGGGGAAGGGTGCATCTTGTTCACCTCTATCTGACCCTGGTGAATATTTATTTAAGAGAAGTATCCTCTCAATACTAAAAGAGAATATATCATTCAGAAGGCAGCACGTACCTTTGCTTCAGTTTATGTAACTAAAAGTTGGCTACAGATCAAAATCTTCTTGCTATGTGTCTGTGCCTGTAGATTTTGCAAGAGTCTTTTTAAGCTCATTTTCAAGAGAAATAGCTGCTTTGATAAAATCATATTCTTCTTAGAAGCCTTTTTTTTTTTTTTAATTGCAGCAATGTGGTCTCGAAATTAGATGACGCACGGTCTAGAAATGTCTAGGAAGTTGTAGAGATTACCACAACACTGAAGTTCCAGCTTTCCTGATTCATTAAATTTCTGAACTGGCCATTCGAAGGACACAATTCTCTCCTCAGAGGAAATAAGGGTATTGAGTGATGTGAGAGTCTAGCTACCCTCAGGCTAGATGAAGTCAACAACGCTGCCCTAGCCTAATCCTTGGCTGCTACCTGGTGTTACCACCATCGCTCTTAGGGCTCTTACCAGTTTTTGTGACTTTCTGTGTGTTTTTCTGGGTGTATGAAATTCTCTTCAGTTCTCTTCAGGGAATTGCAATTCTCCTCTTCCCTCTGGTTCACCACCATCATTGGGAGTGGCTATTCCATAGTCTGTGCTGGGAAGGGTGGGATGGCAGGGCATGTGCACAACTCCTTCCTGAAGGTAGCCCACTTCATTTCCTTCAGGTGACAGGAGTTCTCACCGTCCAGCTCAGAATTCTTCAGAGAGGCATCTGAGGAAGGGGGGACAGAGCAGAGGGGCTCAGAATGTCCCTCAGCATCCTCAACACATCATTGCTGACATTGACAACACCCCCTGCCTATTTCTGCCAGGCAGAGGTTAGGAGCTGTGGATGGGGGATCTTTGTGTCCGGGTGGAGGTGTGCCTCACTTCCCAAAGCCATTGCTTATTATCACCTATAAAGTTCTGAATGTTTTCCCATGAAATGTATATGGAGAATCAAGGCAGAGAAGGAGTCTAACTGTATCTTTTTTTTTTCTACTAAACCTCAATAAGAAATATATGGCTGGCTGAGAATAGCTTAAAGAATAGTAACTGTGAACATATGTGAAATTTCTGCAAGAGAACATTGTTTCCATTATAATATTATTCTCTGACACTGTTTTTCTTTTTTTTTCCCCCTCCTTCTGGAGGAGTTGATTGAAACTGGATTTTAAATATGTACTCTTTTTTTCCCTTCCCTTACAAGTAACTGGGCTGCAGGGGTGCAGTAAGTCAGCAGTGGATATTGTTGAAACATGTACGAGGGGAGAGACTGAGAACACACAATTACAAGTTTCTTTAAGTCTAATTTCATTGTACTTTTAAATATCTGGATAATTAACCAAACATTACATTCTCTCTAGACTATTTTTACAAGTACAATATGCTCCTCATGTGATTTGCATTAGGCTGTTCCAAACATCATTTAAGTGCTTAGAATGATTGCAGACCAAGAGTCAAAACTACAGTTCAGCTATGATGTGGAGGTCTTATTCTCATGGGGGAAATAAAAAATTGAGAACTGAATTCTGAGATCCTTCTGATGTCGTAGGAGAATTGGAAGTTTATTGCTTCGCCAAGCTCCAGCAAATAGAAGTATGTACAAACACACCCTAGTGTCTCTGTTCCCTCTTGTTGGAGGTGTGTTCAAATAGGGTCACCCTGGGAGAAATTAACCAAACAAGAGCAGTGCTAGAGTTGGCAGCTTTAAATATCAGAAAGGAATAATAAGGGGAGACTAAAATCCAGATGTGTCGATTGCAAACCTGGTCCTATTTGTTGTGTAAGGTATATATGTTTATCTGGCTGAGTTCCTCACTTGAAGGTCACTGCCAAACTCTGAAATAATACGTATCAGACAGTTTCTGGCTGTGCTTTTTCTCTTTCCTCTTATAATTGCTTTGATGTTGCTTTGAGCTTTTATGAGGCCAGGTTCTGATCTGATGTTAGAAGGTTAATGTTAATTTGCAGACTTTAGGGCCTTCCTTGACCGGCTGCTGCCCACATTGCTGAGCACCGTGGGCAGGTCCGAGAAACCACAGGACAAGAGTTCTGGTTGCAGTTGCTGTTGTCATAAGTATGGGCAGAACTCAGAAGAAAAGGAGCAAGAGTTCTTAGAATCAGGATCACATCCCATTAGGCAGTCACATCTAAAGCTTCCCCCTAAACATGAGTTTCTATTCTATTTTAAAATATATACAGGAAGTGAAAACCTAGGTAAAACAGAACATAATTGATTTATTGTCTGGTTGTCTTTTGAAGTGCTGGTGGTGGTCAGAAAATTGTTCAATTGAGAAATAAATGATTCAAGGATAAGAAGTTTGCTTTCGCAAACAAAAAAGAAATATATCTTAACAAGGAAGGTGAAAATAATTGAAAATTTCATTATAATGTTTTGGTGCCTGTTTTCCATAGAATAATCCTATAATTGTCTACTGTGTGACAGCCTGAGTCGCTCAACCAGTGGAATGATTAATGAAAAAGGCAATGAAGGATTTGTCACACTGTCACAAAGCAAGGAAGTGTGTGATAGTCATTAGAAGCAGAAAAAATGAGATAAACATCATCACCCGTGAGGTTAGCAGATGTGGACTGAATATTGAAGAATCTGGTTTTGGAAATGATTATAGTACTGCCCATCCTGCTGTCAGGTTTTTCACAAATGGTCAGCAGAGCAAGCATGGAAAGGATGAAAACAAGATCGGGTCCCAGCATGGGGGCCAGAGACCCAGGCATTCCAGGGCCACTCACTGAAATGGGATTTGATAGGAATGAGAGCGGGGGAGGGGCCATGCCTGGGTGGAGTTCCAGTTAGCCATGTGACTTGAGACACCTAAACCCTTGTTTTCATCATTGTAAAATATAGGAAAATAATGTTGACGGTAAATGGACTCAGATTACAATAGGTGAAGTAGCCTGGTGTATAAGTAGATGCTCAAAAGTCAAATGCGTGTTCCTTCTTAATTTCCTGCCTGGTGATATCCTAGATGGTCACATGGGGAAGGTGCCATAAAAATGTGGATGCTTTAGACTTAATTTGTCATCACTATAGAACAACTTAAAGTCTGTGCCCTTCCATCTCAGAGGTGAAAAGAGGAGTTTTATTATCAGGCTCACGATAAGACAACTTCAATAAGAATATCACTAGAACATATATTTTTAAGCGTTTGTACCAGTTTCCAGAGGGAAAAAATATTTAGAAGTCGTGCCAGATAGGTTGTTCATTTATCAAGTAAGTTTTTATGTATCTCCTTTATGCCGGTCAATATACATATATTATGGGAATAATAATTCATGAAATGGTAAGCCTTCTGAGCATTGGAGGCAAAGTTTTCAGAATGTATTTTCAAAAGAAATTGTGAATTTTACAAGGATAAGTCTTGTGCCTGCTCATTTTTGTGTCTGTTCAAGTATCTATATAATGACTTTGACAGCAGAGTTGCTCAATATGCCGCTGTTGAATAAAGAGTATGTGGTACATCTTTACCAGTAAAATGATCGCTCAAGAAAATGTGCTTTTTTTTTGTCATTACAGAAATTTTATTTGATAAATGTTCACTTATTGCCACTAATGATAATATAGCACAGTTATAAAATAAACTGAATTTCTGACAGGAAAACACATCTCTATATTACCACAAGGCAGCTAAATGTACTCATGACTTAATTACTATGAATAAATTACTATGATTCAATACTTTTGCCTAAATAATTATTATTGCCTAAGAAGCCTGCATCAGTAAGGAGGTGGTGAATAGATTACTTAAATTATGTTCTTTTATCATAACTTGGAAGGAGTTGAGGTTTTTAGAGTAGGTTGGACCAGGTATAATTCTGGCTGTTCTATTTAATGTCTCAATCCTGCCTGCTGTCCTATCTTGAAAAGGGAATAGTTGTCTCCCTGTGATGATGTTATGGATTAAAGGAAAGCCCTCCGGAGCTCCCCGCCTTTGAACCACAGACCTCTGGAAAGCCTTGGAGATATTGTAAAGGACCTGTTGACACACAGGTACCCACAGAAGGTTTCTGGTCTACTTTGAACAAACATGCATCACTCTTTTTCAAATATATGTAAATTCATTCATTCAACAACTGTGTATTGAACCCTGACAAAGGGACAGCATTTCACAATACGAATGCACAGTGGACACAAATAAACCAAACAGACCATACCCCTGAGATTGGAGATCTTATCCTGTAGTGTGGGTGGAAAAACAACAATATACAAGATAAAAAATTAAAGTTGGATGGTGATAAGGATGAAGAGGAAGAGGAAGGAGAGGGGGGGGGTATATAAAATGGAAAAGAAGGGATGCTAACTTTTAGGTAGGGTGGCCAGGGAGGGTAGCTCAGAAGGCCTCTCTTAGGGAGGGAGCCTGGGAGAGAAGCCGTCCAGGTGGAGGGGATGGATGACGTGAAGGCCCCAGCTGGCACGTGGGTGGCATGTGCAAGGAACACTGTGGAACCCAGAAGGACTGGGGAACAATGAGAAAGAAGATAGGGGGAAGGTTGGGGAAGGGAGCAGATCATGCTAGCCTTTATGCCCCAGAAAAAGGCCCGTTGCTTTTACTCAGGGTTGGAGGAAGTCATTGAAGGATCTGATCCAAGGACTGGCGTGATCTGGTTTAGATCTTACAGGTCTACTGTCTAAAAATAGATCCAAGGGGACCATTGAGGAGGTTCCTGCAGTAAGATGGAGGAGGCAGGAGATGATATGATGGTGACCAGGAGCAAGGTGAGGAGTGGGGGCATGAGGAGACATGGACTGCAGACACATTTTGATAGAATAGGTAAAGTTGACAAGCTTGGCTGGTGGATTTCTGGTGGGGTGTACATGAGAAAAAGATATGGAGAATGCCTGAAGACTTTTGGTCTGGAAGAAAGGGAAGGTTTGGGGACTTGGGCTTCATTTTGAACATAGCAAGTTTAATAACAAGTGGAGATGTTAACAAGGCTACTTTGGCTGTGCACAATGGCACAAACTTGTAATCCCAGTGGCTCAGGAGGCTGAGGCAGGAGGATCATGAGTTCAAAGCCATCCTGAACAAATTAGCGAGGCCCTAAGCAACTTAGTGAGATCCTGTCTTAAAATAAGAATAAAAAAGGGCTGGGGATGTGGCTCAGTGGTTAAGCACCCCTAGGTTCCATCCCTGGTACTGCCTCCCCCACCAAGGAATGTAACTCTCAATGGAAAATACACAGGAACTGTTTTAAAATATTACTGAGTCAACATAGCACTTTTTCAGCATACTCTAAAAGAAGAACTACTATGTTTGTTAGGTGAAAGGATGTCTACAAGATATTTTGACTTTGGAAAAAGACCCTGTGCTGGAAAAGGTTGGAAATAAAGATATATTTAAGTGAAAATTTTAGTGGCCAATAGGCATTATTTTCCTTTTCCCCTTCTCCTATTCCTTTAATGCCTGTTGATTTCAAAATCTGTATCATTATACAGACTTTTTAGTCTTAAATTTCAATGCGAGACTTTTTTTTTTTTCCCCTTTTGATTAAGGCTTTGAATAGAACTTTCTGGTAAGAAAAGCCTGACTGATGGCAGAATCATGTTCACTGGTCCACGTTATTTTATTTCATAAGGAAATTAGAATGTTCCCTTATTACATGTTTGTTGTTAATTTTTGTATGTGTGCACCTGTCCCCGACTGGCATGTCACTTGGGTGCTATTTGGTAATGACCAAAAAAG